CTGTCCTTTCTGTGAGATGGATAGGCACACTTGTAATACTTCTTGGAGGATTGCTTTCCTGCATGATAACCTTGTACATGTTGCTTTCTTCGCTCATATTTCGGAAATTCATTTCTCCTTCCCTTTGGCTGGTACTCGGCTATTCGAGAGACTGCTTCTCGTTCGCCTTCGAGGAAATGCATGAAAGGGATGAAAGGGTGTATCTTTTCAATGGCCGTGATGTCCCTATATCTTCTTCGCCATTCTACTTTCAAATAACATGGTAGCAGTTCGGTGATTAAATCAACATCTCTCAACGTCAAAACATTTAGGTTTCCCAACTCTTCCAATTGACTATACGCTGATTCTACTTCGTCTACAAGTTCTACCAAGCCTTTGTAATCATCTGTCGGTACGGCTTTAATCTTATGTAAATCTTCTAGTGCAGCTTGTACACTTGCACCAACATCTTCGTAGAAACTTTCTAACTTCTGCCACATGACATTGTATGCTTCCGGTTTGGTGACATAGACTGATCTTATTCGTCGACTTGCCTCACCCTTTACCGATCTTTTAAGCTCATGAGCCAGAGCAGTCTTATTTTGATATGCTGTCTCAGCGACTGATTTCCAAATCGCTTTGAACTCTGGCCACTCTTTCCGGTTACCACTGAATGTTGGCAAAGCCATTTTCTTTACCTGGACCCGAGAATTGAAACCCAGTGAATTAGGACTGTGGTGGGGTGTAGGTTGTGGACCGATTGAGGGGATTGGGACTGTTCTGGGATTGACCAAATATGTCTCGCTCGCATTGGGAGTAGAATAAGTCACTGGTACTTGCAGTGGGTTCCATGTTGATGGGCTGGTAGTTGGAGTGCTTGGGGACACACTGTTCAAATACATACTTGTATCTGGTAAACTTACCAAATTCTGTGGAGGTACATTGTTGTAAAGATTTGTGGTCATACTATGGTGTGGTAGTAGGGGGGTGTTGTGGTATGGATTGGTGTTACTGAAAGTTTGCTGTAATGTTGCTTGGGTCATACTTGTACCAAGGTGGGGTTGGGTGTTGCTTGGGTATTGGTGTAAGCCAATCGAATTTGGTGGAAAACTTGATGTGGGATTGACAGGTGGGGACAAGTGGATTGGGGCGGTGCTGGTACTTAAGTGGTGGGGTGTGTTGACTGTAGATGGATTGATCTGTGGAGGGGGGTAGTGCATGGTGCTGGTGGTTGGGTATTGATATAAAATAGGAAAGGTTTGCTGTGATGTACTTGCACTTTGGGGTATGGCTTGGGGATTGGTACTTGTATAGGTGGACTGGGCACTGATTACAGAACTACTCACTGGATCATTCATTGTTGAAGGTACAAATTCAGGTGCAGACACATTGATGGTAGTATCTGTCTCTGTAACTGCATGTGGGGGGATGTCACTCACTGTCCCTTCCTTGGAGGGGCTGGTAGGGGTGTGGTCAATTTGAATACTGGGATTGGTCACAGGTGGGCTACTAGAGGTTGCGCTATTTTGGGAGTCTATATTAAGAAGTGCAGCAGATGCACCCACAGTATCTACTTGATTTACAATAGGGGGTGATGGAGTCTTTTCGATTGAACTTTGACAGTCACATAGGTACAGATTTATGGATCTAACCTGTTTAAAACCTTGTGCAATAATCTTATCAATCTCAAGATGTAACTGAATATCTTGCTCTGATTTTGAAGACCCAATCAAACTCAATTCAGAGATTTTCCCACACAACACATTTAACATTGTCTGCAATTCTTCTTTGTCTAATTGCAATGCTCGTTTATTTGGACTGCTAGAGTTAATGTTTATATCAACTGTTTCGATTAACTCACTTATTCGACTAGAATGTAGCTTTAAGGCAACTCTCGCTGGTTCTACTGCTAAGTTTTTGTTTATTTCTCGCTCAGCAGCCTTTTGTTCCAAGAATACTTCCCTAGCCTCATTATAACACTGTTTAACATTGTCTCTATACTCACTAATATCCTCTCCGTTCACAACACGATGTTCACTGTTCTCTTCCTCTGACACGAGAAGTTCAAACTCTTCATTTGCTACACAGAAATCATCGTACGCCTTTTCGAGTTCGATTATTAAACTCTTCAACACATCATATTCTGTTCCTCGGTGGGCTGCACCGATAAGTCGCCTCGAGGCCAAACTAACCGCCGTTTTGGCCTTACTTCTCTCTTGTTTCTTGTTTTGGACACTCATATTTTAGTTCATAGCATCGACCAATGACCCAATGATAACTACGTCAAGCAACTTCGAGTATTTGGCAGGCAAAACTCCTTTAAAGTCGGCTTCTTTATAGCTCACGAACGTCACCGTCCTGATTGATTTCTTCGATCACTAGTGTTTTACTGTATTGGTATCGCTATATACCCACGTATTTCAACGCGCATGCAAACATAATTACTCAAAGAAAACGATAATGTACTTAAACAATGTATAAACTTTTATTTCTTTACAAATATCGTCGAATTATTAAGCCT